ATTAATACTTTTAATTAATTTTTAAATTCAAAATATTTTATAATATATAATTAAAAACTTAAAATTTTTATTATTATTAGATTTATTTTTCTCTATTTGCATTTTTATTTTTTAATTTATATTTTTTCTTAATAATTTAAATTTTAATATTTTAAAATATTAATATTTTATTCATAATTTAAATATATTATAATTAGAATATTAAAATATTAATATTTTTAATTTTTAATTTAACATATTAATTTTATAAGTTTGAGTTTGTAATTTTTAAAAATAAGGACATTTTATTTTAAAATGTTTGTAGTTTATTCTTATGGGTATGGAATAGCTAATACCATTAGAAAGATAGTATTAGTTATTCCAAACTTTTAACAAGTTTTGAAAAATAGTCATTCTATTTCTTCCTTCAAAAACAAATCAAATGAGGGGAGAAAATTTTTTCAAGAATAAAGGAGGAATGGCTAACTAAACATGCCATGAGCATCCGAGCATTTGATGTATTAGTTAATATATAACCTCCTTATTTAAAAAGTAATGTTTAAATTCTCTCTTTCCAATTATACATATATATATATATATATACCATGCCATGGAGGTCTCAAATTCCCCTTTGGGCCTTCCAATTGGAGATGCACTTAACATCATGCCATCAAAGTGCAAATCTGCTCACATTCCACGTAATCAAATTGTAATTTCCATGCAAATTAAACTAGATTTACAAATTATTGGGAAAAGATTATGAAGTTAGTAAAAAAGCAAAGAAATCTATTAATTCAATCTCGGCACTCTCAACAGCCAAGAGCAAAAGTCTTGACTCATTTTTTAGGTCATAGTCTCAGCAAAAAACCATTAATCTCATATAAGGAGAATATGATAAGTTTCAAATGAAGGGTAGTGAATCTCACATTAAAAAAAATCATAATTTTAATAAAAAATTATATAAAATAAATAAATTAAAACAAATAATATCTTATAAGTTGATATAAATGGTAATATTGAATCTTCCACTCAATCATTCCAACTATTTTCCTTCTCAATCTCCAAAACCCCATCAAAGCCTCCGGCCACAATAGCAAACCCAAGTCCAAACCAAAACCCTTCAAATTCTCCATTTAGCAACACCCAAATTCCGTGGCAAACCCAAACCCAATAGCAGAGGGTGGAAACTCTGCATTCTGCTTATCTATGAAACAAGTGTTGCATAGCTTTTATTCTTTTGACCAAGGTAAAGAGCATAAAAGCATAAATCCCATCATGTTAAATCAATTATTATTAATAACTTTTAAATTATTTTTTTCTAATTCAATTTCATATTATTATTCTCGTTTAAGTGAACATAAAAGAAAATTAAGTTACACTCTTAATTCCTAACCCTTATTTATTATCAAGCATTTAAAAAGTTAAAAGAAATCTGAATTATAAGATATTATTTTTTGCGTAAGAAACGATCATATTCTATAACTTTTATGACTAAATTAAAGTTTAATAGTTTCAAATACGTTTATACATAAATTTATGAATAAAAATTAATGTATTATAACTGATATAAAAGAAATTATTAAATTATTCATAATATGTATTTTTTTTTATAATTGGAAGAGGGGGGATTCGAACTCTACTCTTTAAATAATGAGATTATACATCAACCAGTGAACCAAATGTTTGGATGTAATATATATATATATTTATTTTAAAAAAGAAAATTTTAAATTAAATATAAATAGGGGTGGAATTAGCCTATTTTCATTGAGGGAATCAAAGACAAAAAAGAATAAGGATTAAAACTTTTTAAAAGGGCTATGAAGAGAAAAATATAAAATATAAAAAAAATTTTAAAAAATTTTAAAATATAATAACACAAGTATATAATTTTCGAACATAAAATCCTGAGTAATGACACAAGCATGCACCCTGAATTATAAGATATTATTAATCGCATATAATATATCAATGCTAATACAAGCATTGGTCTACTGTTAATAATATTATATATTAGGACATGGATAGAAATTTTAAGTGGAGGACTTGAAATTGAATAAGGTGGTAATACATATTTTAAGCTTGAAAGGAACCTCTTGTTAAAGGACAAAATGGGAAAGAGTGAATCTTTTTAAATAATGACAGACTCAGAATTTTACAGGAAAAAGTGAACCACCATTTTCTATCCATCCTTACCTTTTAAGAGACGAAGAGCCAAAACAATTTAAGAGACATTTAAAACATGTTGAATTATTGACAATCATTCAATGTACTATGAATGAGGACTGTTTGCATAGCATATGGCAGCACTCTTTTCAAATAGTAATAATAATTATTATTATTACAATAACAATACAGTCGCAATGTGACAAAAAAACAAAAACAAGAAGAGCCCACACTGATGATGGCTGTGCACCCCATGAACAAAGCATAATTTTCGAATTCGGATGCTTACCTTTCACCAACTTAGCTGTTGTATTCATTTAATCAAGCTGTATTTTAGCACATGAATAATCTAGTTCTAAGTGCATGAATTTGCCGAGGCATGTCAGCCACCGCCCTGGAGATATTCGATCGATGCAGGAGATGGTAAGTCAAGGAAGTCCGTTGATTCTAAGCAAATAAATTAGCTATAACATGGTCTGATAATAAACCGCAAGTCTCCTTGGTTTAATCAGTAGGCTTCAAATTCCTGGTCTCAGTGGGTTACAATGATATTTTAAACCTCTTAATTTTACCTTGAAAGGCCAAGAAAATTCAGCGAAGGGAACTGTTTGAATGTCGATCAGCTCACCTTAAACATCTTGTGATTATAAACCCACCCATGCTTCTCTTTCAGACAGAATAGTTTTTTGCAGTTAAAATTTTCCTCAAGTAAACACAACTATATACCGAAGAAAGAATGATGATAGAAAAATCAGTAGATGCATTTTTTTCTGAATGACAATATATACATTAGCTAAAGTTGAGAAATTACAAAGGATAGAAACAAGGGCTTTTTAAAAATTATGCAGTGCCTTCAACCAGCTTATTCAATTTCTTGGTCCTCAACCTCTCAGCATAGACCTCACTCCCTTGGCATTCATACCTGCATTTTGAGAAGCATGAACAGCCCAAATTATTTAAGGTTGCCACCATTTACCGTCCTTTATTTATTTTTATTTTTATTTTTTTGTCATTAATACAACAGTTTACATATACTTACTTGGAGGGTAAAGATAACAAAGGGCTCAAGCTCTGAGCAAGTTTAACAGCTTCTTCCTCAGTATTCACTATCTGATTGAAGCAAAAGTATCTTCCACATGTAGATGAATCTTCAAAAGCTCGGATGTTAACGTCAGCTAAAAACCCAACATCTACAGATGCTAGAACTCCATTTTCAAACATTTGAGCGGCTCCTATTTCAAATTATGGCAAGACGGGGCTTTAGATATGAAATTGCAAACCAGAAATCATGCGTAGCTAGCTGATATGCGTATCTATATACCTTTAAGATAGGACATGGTTGACCGAGGATTTTGTTGTGCAACCCCGGGGCCAAGAACTAGTCCAGCATTCACAGAAACCATGTTAAGCATTCGATCCATGGCCAGAGCCCAGGCAGCCTGCTCGGAGAGTGTTTTAGCCAGGGCGTGCCACAACTGAAAAACCAAACATGAGATCAGCTGATTGTAAGAACTTAAAACGATTATCTATTAATTTTTATGCAATAACTTAGGAGCTAAGGAAAACATGGATTCAAGGACTTGCTGTCAAACCATTCCTCAACTAGTAGGCATTTGCTTTTTCCAATTTTACCTCTAATTTGGCAAATTAATGATGTTTAATTAATTTTTCTTGTTTGTGTCAATTTAGAAGGAAGAAATACTGTGTTGTTGCCCTTGAAAAGTGAATTCTGAACTGGAAAAAATGCAGAATTTAAAGACCTTTATTGACAAATTATTTCTTAAGGAAAAAAAATCTGAAAGTTTCACCTAGTTGTGCTAGAATCAGCTTAGGCAGCTCTACCAACCTAAGAATATCACATATGTCTAACAAGGACCCTGTAGCCTGTACCATATTCATAGAGGAAAAGAAAAGAAAGGAAAAAAAATCATCTAATAATACCCAAGGTTTAGTTGCTGTGACTCTTCCTATCATTTGTTTTACATGTAAATGAAAGAAAAATCTTTTGCTTTTTACATTTTTATACCATAATGAAAGAAAAAACTTTTACTTTTTACATTTTTATCCCATAATGGCAACAGGCACAATTAATTAATGCATGACTTTCTGTGGTAATCAGGTATTTGCCATTTCTTGTCTTTACCTTTTGGTTATTCTCGTTGACTTTTCTTGCTTAAAGATAAGACAATAAAGAGAAGAATGGTCAATTCATGAAAGGAAAATGAAACAAGAAATTTATCTTGCACTGCAAGAACAGCGTGACTGACCAGCCAACAGGACGACCCAGTAAAATTAAGGCATATTAGATTAGCTTAGACAAGTTAACCTTGAATTCTGACATTTAGCTGAGAGATTGTCATAGCTTGTTTAATACATGATTAAATAATCTACTAGGTCGCAATTTTTTCCCCAGAAATGCAGTGGAAGGACCTAGACAGTCAGTTTAAATGCAATTTGTAAAGAGTATTTATTAGGATTAGTACGATGAGAGCCAGATGTAAGAAGCCACCTTCATAGAAAAATTCTTTGATTAGTTCAATATCAAACATTGAAAAGAAAAAAATAAATGAATACTAGTGTAGTTGAAAACTTCAACAGAGAGATGTAAAGTTGCAAACCTTCATTTTCCGGCAGAAATCTTGATCACTCCAACACCTCTCATCCACATCTTTCTCTAAACAAATGTTCTCTCTCCAAATAGCTGCAGTTAAGGAAGAGCTGAACACTATCTTCTCTATGGTGTCTGTTTGTGCACATGCCTCCACCACATTGATTGCTCCCCTAACTTCCAAATCCACAATTATATCCTGCCCCATAAGCATGGGAATATTAATTCCAGGGAGACAAACTATAGATGCATGAAATTATGGCGAAGTCTTTCACTTACATCATAACCATCTGGGCTATCTAAACAACAGAACAGAGCAGAGCAACCCTTCAGCGCAACAAGAATGCTCTGGTAATCCAGAATATCCACAGTAAAAACTGCTAATCTGTCCTCCACTCTTTCCATTTCCTTGATTTTCTTCTCTATCTCTGTCTCTGATCCTGCGACAACCCCAAAACAGAAAGAGCCTCAACAGAAAAATAATATTATTGTAACTCAAGAAAAGAAGTTCACAAGGAAGATGCCAAGAGGAAAAAGAAGAAGAAGAAGAAAAAACACTTACCCTTTCTTTGAAGAGCTGCATGAACTGTGTAACCTCTACTCAAGAGTCCTTTGAGAATCCAAAAACCCACATAGGTTGATGCGTCAAGAACACAAAGTTTTGGCTTTTCTTGATCCATTGGTTTTTTCCTCAAAGTAGTTTCTTTCACCTTTACCTCCTTTCCTTTTTGTTTCTTTGCTTCTTGTAAGCAACTTCCTTATATAGAAGTTAAAGAGAATTTGAAGGTGAGATGAGTACTTTTAAATCAGGAAGGGTTGGTGAACTATTTTACAACACGTTCCTATCTACTCTCCATCTAAGTGGAAGTACTTTCTTTAGAGCCTTTTTGTTTTTCTTTTTTTCTTAAAAAAAAAAATCGAATTTTGTTTTCCACATAATCATAATTACTTTATTTGTACTAATCTAATCAATTATATAAAAATAAAATATATATTACGTTTACGTTTCTTCTGTTTTAGTAGATCAACTTAACAGGAATATATCATCCTTGTATTTAGTTAGTTCTCGTACTTGGAAAAGAACATTATCTTATCTGATTGACTGGAAATATAAAATTTTTATTGATGATTTTACTAAGATGCCTTCCAATAATAAAGAAATTAAATAAAGCTTTATAAATGCAATTTTAGTGAGATTACACGCATTGGGATTATAAGAAACCAAATTGAAGACAACATATAAATAATAAAGTATTTATATCATTATATAAAGGCATTAATAGTTGTAGAGTGCGTAGCCTGAATCACATTCTTTCACTGTTAAATATTCTAGAAATAAGAAGTAAAAAATATCCATATTTTAATACCAACAAGACAATTACATTGAATAAAGTTTTATACATCCTAGTTGCCCAAATTTACAACCCTCTTTTTTCTGTTAAATAAATAATTTTTCAATATACAAAATAATCAAAATTGTTAAATTGTAATAAAAAAAATCTCATTGTTAATCACTATCCAAATGCATTATCATCATATTTAAAGAGTAAAGTTCGAATGCTTCCTCTTTCAATTATTAAAAAAAAATCTCATAATTAATTATTTGTTAAAAGAGGAATTGGCTTTGAGATGCTTATAACCAATATTCTAGAAATGCAACATCCGCATACTTCGGATCTTAATTTATAAATCTTATATATATATATATATATATATAAATATATAACTCAAAACTTTTAATCTAGTATCTTCCCAAGTATTATAAATATCTTTGAAAAATAAAATGACTATCAATTTCTTACTAGTGAAATGCATTTCATTCAAAAAAAAAAACACAATTAATTATACCTGAAACCATCCATAAAAAATGTCATCAAAATTAACTACCATTTCCAAGAAAAAAAAAGCAATTAAATAAGCTTTTTTTATTGTTTTATTTTTCTAGTTAGTGTCAAATTGAATTAGTGAAAAAAAGGAAACTGAAGCAAAATAATCAACACCCATATGTAAATAGCTGTCAAGTATTATAATTTTAGGACATTTGTAAAGTAACTAACAAATTTAAAAAAAAAGTAAAATCTCATTTTACCCAAAACATATGTATTGACCATCATATTTCACAAACAACCAATTTAATTTCAAACGTAAAATTAATCAAATATATAGCACCAATTACAACATAAATATCACTTTTTTACCAAAAAGAAAGTTATTCGAACATAAACTAAAATAGCTAGGTTGGGTTAATTTCAAAAATGAAAAAAATCAAGCGTAATATTCATCTTTTACATTAGAGAAGCCTTTGACGATGATGGAGTCAAGGTGTGAACTAAATGCATGTTTAAAGAAATAGTCACGTACTCAAATATTTAACTCATTAATTAATACATAATTCTTATTTAAAAAGTCTATCAAATTCAAAAAGAAACAACTTCCTAATTGGTGTTACAAAAGATAATAATATATTATAAAACAGCAGAAGCAAGGGAGTTAGGTTTCTCCAAGCTCCCAAAGATTCAGTGTGTGGTGTGTCAAGAGTGTGTTGAGCGAAACTCTAAACGCAACAAGCTTTGTTTCACCATGCTAAAGCAAATCCAAAATGTTTTGAGGGCTAAAATTGTTGAAATTATGTAAAGCTGTCCTTCCGGAGATGGAAGAAAATGGGAGTTAGGCAAGTGAAATTTTGGTCTTATGGAGAAGAGACCTCAGCGTTTTATCTAAGTTAAAACCTAGGTAGAATATTTGTAGATAATCTAAACGATCAAATTATGATAAAAGTTTCATTATTCAATAACTATTAATCAAATTTTGCATTTGATACTATATGTGTCAAATTTAATTTTTAGGGTTTAGTCATTATGTGAAAAAAATGCACCCCACAGATATAATATAGAACATTTTATTTGAGTTGCTTTGATTTAATTGTACATATATATATGTACTGATTTGATTATAGGTGTATCCGTACTGGAATCTGCTTTCCAATAAAAAATTTACTGAAAACAGGCAAAAGGTCGGGGCCAAATTGTACAAAAGTGGAATTTGGGTTCGAATTTGGTTCTGTGCAGTGCTGCCACAGAAATGTTACTGTCAGGGAGTGGCGGACAAAGGGTACCAATGCCATGGTTGGATGTGCTGTGCGAAATGACAACAGATTTGGCCGCTTCCCATCAGAAGAGCAGCAGAGTACTGTAGCCCCTTGTACACGTCCACATCCATATCCACCATTGTCAAGGGTAGCCCAAATGTTAAATGATTCGTTCAACAAAGTGACACTCACAAGTCACAAACAAGCACCATGCCAAAGGGGAATCCGCAACAAATTAAGTATATTTTCTATTTCCATTGTTTGGAATTAGTTTTCATTCTTTTCTACTCTGTGGATAATAATTAACAACAAAAAAAAGTTTGCTAATGCACAAATTAAAGATGTTTTTAAAAGCGAAGATAATGAAAACACGGTTTGTTTTGTGTATTTTCTAATTAAGAAAATACATAATTCGACTAATGAATGATATTAGGCTTTTTTAGAAAAAAATAAAAATAATATATTTTAGTGAAAATAATTTGTGAAAATAAAAGGGAATTTATGACAATAATCATATTCATACTGACATGATATTGAAAAATAATATTCACAAAAATATCTTTCAAACGATTAAATTCATTGTACAAATAAATAATAATGACTTATCATTCTTTTTTTGAAATATCTTTAATACAATGATGCACCAACTTATGTTATTTAATTTAAGGGATGACCATTGAATGATGAATGATGCACGAACATTATCAATATTTTCATAAAATTACTCTTCATTTTGCTGTCCAAGGTACTCCAACATGGTCCGTAAATGGAATAAGCGTTTTGCATTATCTAAAATAAAAAAATAAATTCTCCTACTTAATTAATTTTTTATCTAAGTCTCTATTATCTTATTGCTTTCAATTAAGATTTTTTAACATTTATTTAGAAATCAATTCAGCCCTTGCTTGATCAAAAAATTTATCATGGATTAACACCTTTATATCTGTTTAAGATTATCATGTGACACGGATGATGTAGAATATTTTTAGTATGTAACATAGAAGATTTTACCATATGATATTAATAAAAAAATAATATTTTTTTATTTACTTGACACGTTGTATTAATGTCATGTACTAAAATTTATTCCATTTTATCAATATCACATGACAAGAACATAGACAATAGATTTAATTAAGTATAAGGTTTTTTTTTTTTTGTATTTTAGGCCTGGGCATTTTCATCATTTTTCCATATGTTGCTACTTGTTTTCATCGAAAACGTGGAAAATTTATTTTCAAAATTAAACATAAATTTGTTTTTATTTGCTAAAAACCAAATTTGTATTATTACGAAACATGTTTCCAACATCATTCCATTTTCTATTTTATATGGAAAAGGAGAATATTTGGTGAGAGCAATTGTGAAGGTGTTGTCTCCATCCCCCGATGCCTCTTATGTGTTTCATTCATATGATGAATTTAGTATATTAAAAAAAATACTATTTAATGTGATAATTTCAAAAAAATATCTTTATAACACTGGTTAACAAACCGTGTAATTTTAAAAGAAGTTATAAAGTGACATTTTAAAATTAATTGAGGACTACATAAATAACATTTTAAAAAATGCATTAGTGTTGTTAAAATAAGATTACAAATAACATTTGTGTACACTAAAATAACCGATATATATATATATATATATAAAATTTTTCTTATTTTTAGTCAGAAAAAGTTATTGAGATTTATTGTCTACATAAAAGATTGATTAATTGGATTGCTTTAATGAATCCCATATCAGCTGATGCTTTTTTTTTTTTGGCAATTTTGTTGCAGCTGAGAATACGGAGTTTGGTTCGTGGAAAGCAAAGCACATTAATGAAGCCTACAAGGAAGCATAAATGCGGTAACAAGTAGCAATTATGGAAGCCATTGATGTCATGACAAGTGGCACTGCCTTGGGTTTATTTCACAACTCAAAAGCAAACAAGAAAAGATGCCGGCAAGTTTCAGGTAATGGATTGCGTGGGGAGAAATGCCTTAAACCCTTTGGCTTCCAATTTGATTTGGTCACCCAGAAGTTTGAGTTCTGTGTGGCTGCTGTTTGTTCTTTTACTAATATTGTGATCATATTGTCATTGAGAGAGAGTAGGCAATCTAATATTTGCTTCATCGTCTCCTTTGACTTTGTTTTGTCTCTATTTCTGAGATTCAAAGCTCAATTTAAGGAATTTTGTGCAGCCTATGACTCCTCCACAAACCCAAAACCAAGTCTATTTCTTCTCAACTTATGAGAAAACAAAACTCGACAACTCTTTTAACAAAGCTTATACTTAAGATTTGAATCTTACCTTCTTCTCTCCAACTTTCTCAAATTTGTCTAAACTAGAAATAAAAAATTTCTGTAATTCCCAGTGGCCAGTAGCAGTTGAAGGGCTGAAACTAAAGCAGGCATCCACCTGCAAAGCACTTGTGTTCTCTTGACAAAGGTCAGTCCAACATCAACATGGAGCAGTTAACTTTTGCCAAAAGTAAAAGAAAATTATCTTATATATCTATCCATGCTAAACCATTTTAATTTTACAAACATATCTCATTAAAAGTATATTATAAAAATTAATAAATTAATGATTAATTATTAAATAAATATTGGACCATAGTCTAACCAAGGTTGTGTATAGAATAAAAATATGAAGTATAATTACTTTGGGATGGTGAGAGGAAGAGTTACACCTCCCCACCAAGGTCGGATTAGGTTTGCCATAAATTAAAAACAAAAGACAACAATATTAAGGAAAAAAGAAGCCTTTCAAAAACAAAAAAATTAAAAAGTCCTAGTCAAAGTTATAAAGTATATAGTTAATTGGCAAAAAACAGGTTTTTCAATTTTCCCTAGGTATTTTTTAAAAAAAAATTTAAGATCGTTAACGTTTTTGAACTTTTAATAAAAATAGATGTGACACCAAAGGAGTCTCAGTACTTCGGATAAGTACAAGTGTTAAAAGGAGAGTACCTTAAGCACGTGTCATGCTAACCTTGGACATAGAGAAGAGAGAAAGAAGAGAAATAAATTTGTGAGAAATGAAATTTTAATCTCAAATTTGACGTGCTTACAAATGAACGTCAAGGGATATTAATAGACATGCTAACCCTTTACCTAATTTATCTACAATTCAAACTTAACATAAATGGTTAAAGTATTTAAATTTAAATGTTCATCCTATTTAAATCATTTAAATTTAAGTACTCGTCCTATCTACATTAAATTTAAATTTACATCAATTTATGTACACTACAATTTACAATTTGCAGAGATCACATAATAGCCAACAACCAAGTAATCAAAAAATGGGCATAGCAATGATGTGAGGAAATAAGTTTACAGCCACAACAGTTTAAGGAAATAAGTTTATAGATTACAAAATACCTTGATACAGAAACTCCATTTCTTAGTGAAGACGCACCACAAAGTATTCCAAATCATGACAACATAGACTATAGCCACATACAAAAGACCTATTGAGCCTTATATTATACAATAGAAAGTAATCCTTTCTCATTCTATAAATTTCAGTCACCTCTCTCATGATTCTACGTTAAGGACAACATAAAGTTGTATCATATCTTGTCATATAAAAACCAAATCCCAGAGGGAAACAATAATTACGGCTAAAGGACTGGACAAAGAGATACAAAGGAAATGAGACCCAAAAAAAGAAAAATGAGAAAATAAGGGAATTTGACGTTAATTATTATATTATAAATGAAAGGAAAAACCGAATGGTTGAATTAATATATAAGGGAAGAGAAAATCAGTTTCTGAATGCGCAGATTCAGCTGACACTTTGAAATTAAATGAACTAGTAATAAACTTCTCTTATCTTGCGTTTTTGGCAAGCTAAATGCAAACAACATAAACTAATAATAATTAAATTTTATTTATTAGATATGCAAGCACATGCGTTGCTATCTAGAAAGTTGAAACAACTTGGGATCGATGTTCCATGAAGGTCAAAGAAGGGCTAAGTTTAGGCTGGATCAGTCTTGAAGAATTAGGATAGGATTAACAATCATCTTAAAAAAAAGTGGATCTAATGCAGCCTACAGTGCTCATATTGCTTACAAATTCAAATATAACAATTTGACGAAGAAAGGTAACTCAAGAAATAGCTAGGGAACAGAATCGGTAATGAATCCAATACCAGGTCATTGCAAATTCAGTCAATAACTGCTGCTCATCTTCATAACAGACAGGTCAAAGACTCACAAAATTTGAAGCGGAAATAACAGACAGTTCACACTACTTGATGCAATTTTTTCCATTAAAACTGCAAAATAAAATTTATCAATTTTGTAAATTTAGGCAACCACAAAGCCAATGTTACATTATGTATCATATTTTTCCATATATTTAATCTGGACCAAATTAAAGGTCCTTATTTCTCCAAATTCTATTTTATGATGTTCATTAAAATGAAATAACATTTTGAGGATTTAATTAATATAAAAGAAAGGAAGATGATGCACATTATATACCGTTACTTACAAGCAACGAGAATTATTTGTCATGCAGTTCCCACCCAATCACTGAACACGAGCATAATACCATGGTCACCCTCATGACAGGAACATCAACAAATGGCCTCCTTGCCACATTTGGAGCTGAATAAAATTATGAGACTTTAAGAAACGTCCCATCCTTAATGGCATTGAGAAGTAACATCTCCTGATTTTTTGAACAAATTTGATGGAACCTGAAACAAAGGAGAGGAGATGAAGATAATAATTCGGCATCAGAGACCAAGCAACGATAGGTTGACTATATTAACATTTCAAAAGATAGCACAAAATGTTTGTATGAAGAACAACTTTATCAGGTGTCTATAAATTTATCAAATAGAAATAATTGAGTTCAAATCATTTCACAACTGGCAAACATTGGCATAATATTTATTTGGTACGCCCAACCTGTGCACCTATGGCAAGTAATGCATAAAGATGAAATCAGGGAGAGTAATTACAATGACCTTTTCTAGAAAAGATACTGTTTTTCTCTATTTACATTTGTTAAAAGAAAGAGGATATCAATATTTGAACACTATCCATGCACATGGTCCAAGATAGCACCATATGATGCACTGTTGACAGTTATTAGGTGCTTAAATGGAAGCATGTATGTGTAAAACACATAAAAAATTAAACTGAAGCCAGCAGATCTGTAAAACAGACTGTCTAAGCCAACATTTTCTCTACCATAAGAATTATATGATTTGAATCCTCACAGTCCATTTATTTGGCGTAGATGGTGACTTTTATGCTTTGTTGGGATAAGGTATTTGGAAAAATTTCATAAACATTTGAAACATAGGACATTTGTATTTACCAATTCAAATCCGAAATTCTTGTAAAATTTGCAGTTAGATTTTTTTTTTTAATTTGAAATATCCACAGGATGAAAGGTAGTGATTTCTTTGTTTTCCACCATGACAGCAGTGCCAAACCAATTCTCAGTCCAAAAGCTAGCTATTTTTCATAGAAAGATCTTATTTTCTAGAAGCAACAGAAGGCAGGATTCAAATCTGCTGTACCCCAAACTTAACATAACCAATGACAAGTAAACCCCAACTCTTAGTCCTCCACATATCTGCCACCATATGTAAACCTTGATTGAGCATGCTGGAAACAGCCTCCAACAGTGTCTAAAAGTTATGCTTAGGTTGGTTTTAACCAAATTTAGCACATGTATAGCAAAGAGAATATTAGTTGGGAGCTTGAGCAGCGTTTACTGGTTATTTCTGAGTTGTAAACTTATATTTCTTTAAGCTTACAGTACAGATTCTCATTTCTATTTATGTTTTGATTCAGAGTAGTATTACTTGTGTGTGTGTGTGTGTGTGTGTTTTAATTTTTTAAATATTAACTTCCAGGGGTGTTTCTGCAAATTTCTGGTTTGCTACATATAGCAGATTCTGAGTCTAATGTGGGTTTTGCCTAGATGTTATTTTAAGTCAAGTTTGTAAGTTTTTTGGAGTAGGAAATACTAGGAGTCTACATATATCGATGTAATCTTTCTTTCTTCTTCTTTCCTTTTTTTTTCTCCAAATATGTATTCTTTCTATTTATTAGAGAATTTCCAGCATTATTGGTTTTTTTATTCTGTGAAAGAATCAACCTTTGGTGTGCTTTGAATATTAGAGATCTCTTTTAGATTTGAATTCTTTTAGAAAAAAGGGGATTAACTTCTCTTTTTGCTTAAGAAATTCTAATCTAGAAGCTGCAATAAACCATGATCACCCAGCTGTCCCACATGACCCCTTCCACAGCACAAACATCAAATTAGCCCCATAAAAGAAAGGACATAAACTTCCCCATTTCAACACCACACTGCCACCAGTACCTCACCAATTATCTCTGCATTACCACCAAAACACCCATGTTGCTGCCATGGAAATAACCACCAAAACAATACTGGGAATTCTCTATAAAACCAGACCTATTTGTAGTTATAGTGGCAGGCAGCAGGCAGGTACATATTTTATTTTCAGACAGTAAGTCAAAGCAAAAAAAAAAAAAGGTAATAAAAAATATCTTCAATTCATTTCAAATTAGAAAGTTGAGACGGTCATGATATACCTTCACATGATGAGGCATGATCTTGATATCAAAGGGTGCATAGAGCCATGTCTCAGGTGAATAGAACAAGAAGTTCTCTGGTTTACTAGTGTAAACATCGGCATACTGATGGATGTGATATGCAAAAGCAGATTCTTGACCTTTGTCAGTGAGGAAGGTGGCCCCAAAAGATCTATTGAACATTCTCTTCATCATGGAGCGCGCTTTCTGCCTCTCTTCATTTAGTTCATCCATGAGTAACTTGTATGCCTCACTTCTCTTATTATTGATTACAGTTGCATGTAACCTCCCAAGCAATTCCTGTAGTATATGAAATTTGGCCTGCATTGAAAGAAGATTTTTAAGAGGATAAAGTAAAAAATTCTATTGTTGAGTTGTCCAATTGCAGACAACGAAGATAAAACTCTGCAAATAATAAAATAGTAAAGAGAAGCAAGTACTCTACATTGTCCTCCATTCAACTCAATCAATCTCTAAGTTACTTAATCTATCTATAACATATTTAAAAGGAAGCCCCATACGTGGAGGGCAGAGAGAGTGAAGGAGAAAAGATATTGAAGCAAAGAGAGAGAAAGAAAGGGGTGCAAAGAGGTCAGAGTTTACCGTTGAAGCAAAGAGAGGGAATGCACAGAGGCCCGTGTGTTGCACACGGGTCATACTCTAGTAACTAAACAAGGCAGCCAACCCCTTTTCACCAGTATCAATTAAATATTAGGCAGCGAAAATAAGTTCCAAATACCCCAGAGACAAAAACAAATACCTGTTCAAATCGATAACTATCCTCATTTTGCATGCGAATTTCACTCTGCAATTAAAAAAAAAAAAAACCCTGGAGGACATGAAAAGTTTGTCTTATAACATGCAGATAAACGCACAGAAAGGTAAAGATAAAGCTCAAAGCCTCAAAAAGTGAAGCAGGATATTAAATATAGAACTCTAATATCTTTACAGCCTAAGTCGCTTTAAAGGAAAAAAATGCTTAACATCATCGAAATTTTTTATTCTTTTCCACTAACATATCATACCTCTCATGTTTTCTATACAATTTTCCTTCCCATTGTGCAAATCCATCACTACTACTATTGAATGACCAGTTAGCCCCTATATGGAAACATGCCTCTATTTATCACAACAAAGAACATTCCGCAATGTATCAAAGAAATCAAGAGCTGACCTTGAATAGCTTGTGAGATGTTTGGCCTATGCATAATCTTGTTAGTTGTGCAGTATCTATTGTACTACTTCATCTCTCTGTCCCTCTGTTTGTCTCTCTCTATCTCTCCCCATTTAAATTTTTGTTTTTAGTGGTTACAATCATCTGTTAGTTCATCTCAATAATAAAGCAGTTATGCTTATATATCATACCAGAGTTTCTACAAATATCTTATTATCAGATACTCTTTCCTTGTGGTTTTGACTCAAGCCCTTGTTTTTGTTTTGATTTTGATTCTTCATTTCCCTCTGTACTGAATTAATCAACTTCCCCTTAAGCCCCCAAACTGCATCACTAGCCTAGCATTTTGGATTTGTCTGCTAAACAGTCAGTTCAAGTTTTAGTCAGAACATCAGAAAATAAGATCATGGCCTTAAATGAAAATTGCATTCCTCAATTAGCACAGTGGTTTATACTTTCTGTAGCAAGAAAATGATAGGAAATATGTAGAAAGTTATTAAATAGTAATTTACACTCAGTTGCCCTCATTGGAAGTATTAAATTAGTTTTATTCTCAAAGGTAATTCTGAGATTTCTAATATGAAAAGATGTCGCAAAAGGCAAAAAACAGATGCAAGTATGGAACGAAAAGAATAAGGCATAAGCAATTATCTGCTTGACCCTGCTAGTAACAAATTAAAAAATGGTCTCAGACTCATTAACTTAAATGAACTAAGCACAAGCTTTACACTTTTTAGCTCATATAACAATGTCATATGATATATGATTTTATTTATTGTTTTAAAAAATAAAATGCTGCTGGTGTTTTTGGTGTCATCTGAAAATTCAACTATTGAAGTAGGCTTTTGAAACCAAAACAACTCCCTTCCAGCTTGACACCAGGCTCAAATTTGAAGCAACTGAACTTGTTTAATAATGAACAGAGCAAAGCCGATTCAAAAGAATAATAAAAGAGCATAAATGTGTTTGAAAAGTAATAATTTTCTGTGGACTACGTTCAAGATTGGGGAGATAGGCTAAACTCAAATTTCAAAAACGCAAGCATCAAGTTTAAAGATTTCTGAACCTTCAGTTTCTTGCTCTGCTTGGCTTGGCTAGGCTGAACTGAACACTACCCTTACATGTACCCAAATTTTCTATCGTCAACAATGTTACAATGCATATAGATACAACTTAACCTTACCATACAAACAAAAGCAATACTCAGCCCAAAAATGGCCAATCATAAATGTCACTAGTTATTTTAAGCTATTATGATACTGTTCTAATTCCTTCCATCACCTTCACTACTGGTATATCATCCAATATATGTAAACATAAGAGGAAACCACAAGACCCTTAACAGAAAACATATTTGGAAAGTAAGTCCTGCCTGAGTACTAGTAGCATTTAAAGACAAGGGGATAAGAATGTGAAAGAAGGCATACTTCTAGTTCCTGGATGATCGCAGCAGTCCGCCAACCAGCCTTTGAAGGGCCTCTTAAGTCACTAAATAGGTGATCACCAAAGTATATCACCTAAAAATGAAAATGGAGCAGCACAATGCCCCCATCAGCAAGAACTTACAGTAATCTAGTTACAAATGGTTGATCAAACATGTACAAGATCATAAATAATGCTACCGGATCTTTAAATATGAATTATAAACTATGATATACCTCTGGACCATTCCACTTTGTAATTTGGAGAAAGGATTTGAGGCACCCGTGGTAATATATTTTATTTTGAAGAAATTTATCCACTTTTGTAAAAGCTAGAGTGTCCTTCTCGGTGTCATAGCACCTGCAATTTTATTTCCAGAAGACTGATCAAGAAATATGATAAAGCATAGCATGCAATTGCTTGATCAAGTATAGAACATATGCCAAGGGAGGTATAAAATGTAAGGCAAGAACAAATTAAAGCAGCCAAGAAATCACAGTGTCTTATCTTGCTTCTGCAGTTATAGTCTTCAGCAATTAAGAAAACTTTCACCTTCAGGGGCAGATCTATTTTTTGAATCTCTGCATACTAGATTTTAAAAATTATCTGGACAAGTTTGTCTGTTAAGATTCTAGGAGTTCAGGTTTGTCTTTAAGTTTCTGTTGGTTGTTTACTTATTTATAAGCTAGTCTCTACTAGGTATTCTAGTTTTGGTGGGTTAAGAGTCCCTTTTGATAACTGTATAATCATGTTTTTTTTCAACTATCAGACTGAGCATTATTTTGGTTTCTCCTTTCCTCCCTACATGGTGCCAGAAAGTTTTTAGCAAACTAATTCTTCAACTCAAACCAATATTTTCCATGATAATTTGATCAAATCAACTCTATTTTCTCTATCTGCTTTCTTCAACTACTATGAAACCTAAACTTCCCTTTGTTCTAACACTAAGCCCACCATTACCAATGCCATGTAGGAAGAGTTTCTCAAAACCCTTCCCAACACAGTAGGTGTTCTTTTTCATCATTTTTTTCCAAATGAGTTATTCCTCAAGATGAACTCTAAAACAAAAGTCTAAAGAGGGTGCCAAAGTAGCTCAATTTAGCTCTTTCATGTCATTGTAGCAGAAAGGAAAAATTAAAATCAATCACCTAAGATTTGCTTAGTGAAATGACATGTTTTACTGTTTTGTTTTATCCACGCAATTCTTCTCTCTAGGATACCAGCTGATTAAAACAACACCTGCCAAGATTCTTGACAGCAGCCCAGTCTAAACTGTGGTTGTTTTGATTTGTAACTTAAATGCAAGGAAAACACTTCAGATTTCCCCTTTACAATCCATGTAAAACAAATATATAGAAACTTTAACAAGTTTGAGAGTCAAACCGGAATGGACGCTCAGAAGTGTAAAACTCTGGCTTATTAGCTTTTGCAATTACAACATCAAAAAGCTCCCTCCATGAATCTCTGCCACCCATAGAATCCTAACAAACACACCAAACTTAGCTCAGAAAGTTCACTACCAATAATTCTATGCATGAAACTAAGAATGGAACAACAAGAATACACTAATGAACAAGCAAATGTGCACAACTATAGCGAACTGATTAATGTGACCACCAAACTTTGAAGGTGAAAATTTTCAGATATTACATACATACTTATGTATATGCAAATTAGTCACTATCCTTATAAATTCAATCCATACACATGCATGAGTGTAAGTACATTATTGAAGATAAAAGAAATTCACCTCAAACACCTTCCATTTGCAATATTATTTTCTACATGCATATGCAGGGAGTAGGTGTAGGGGCAGGGAGAGAGCTGATGTTTTAGAGTCCGGTATTTAAATTTCTTGTCTTCTTCCCAACATATCTTAATGGCAGTGGCATCATTCATCTACCAGAGTTATGTCAACTTAAACATATCGTGTATTTTGAAAGGTCCTCTTTGCAATTCCCTAAAGATTTGTCTGCATATTATATAGCAAATAGGAAAAAAGAACAAAAGAACAAAAACACCCCCAACAATAACAACTTCAACAAAGAAAAATTCCATCTGAAATGCAACATTGAAATGATACACAATCATTACTCAAAGAATTTCACAATTGATATTGTTGAATACATTAAAGCATATTGACTTTAAATATCTCTTCTCTATGTTTAGAAAGTAAAAGGGATGAATGACAAATTGGAGGGGTGGGGGTGGGGGGCTGAAGGATGTCAAATTGTTTCAGAAACTGAACTAGAAATGTGAAGGGTTTGCAAGCAGTAAAATATTTGAATTGTCCATTAGGATTTCCAAGAACTACAAAATGAGAAGGTATATGTGTAACTGCAATGTGAACTACCTCCAACATAAACTGCATCCCTCCATCAACAAAATAATATGGTGAGTTTGTCAGCAAGAAAAGTTTCTTCCCTTTCTCCTTTAACAGCCTAAGAAAGCGTAATAGCTGACCCTGAAAAATACACCACAAATGGCAGGTTAGTATTCCTTGATTCACAGATGACATTATCAAACTTTAGAATAGTCTTTCTTTGAAAGTAAAATGCAAGCCAACTTTAAAATAACAAAAGCACATAACATAGCATAGACAAATAGTTAGAACTTACATTTTTTACTAGATAACGATGAGGATCAGAAAGAATTCCTCTATGAACCAAACCACTTCGATGAACATGCTCAATTGCACGATTGACATCTTGATATATGTAACAGGCATCGAATTCTAGTTTAGCATCAACGAAATACTGCACAATATCAGCAATGAGGCATGCCTACAAAGATGATGAAAAGAAAATGATCAGAGACTTCAAAATAGAACAAAATATGTGCAGCTCATAAAAGGCAAACAGTTCAAGAAGGGGCCAACCGTCTCATATATAAGAATCATGCTTAAAAAGTGTACTTTCTTTATCTATGTGAGCAAGTAGTTACACAAATCAACAAAGGCACCTTTGAATTTATCAGATATATGGAAAGGGAGCTTGTTCTATTATTTCATCAAACATGGGAGTGAAGAAGAAGAAGAAGAAAAGACGCAGCAGCAGCAGCAGTAACTCAAAAGTACCAAGAAAACAGTTCCTCAAAGGTATTAGGAGGCAATAACGTGCATGTGATGTGTGTTTTGTTGGAGTATCTCTTACCCAAATATTTCCAGCTCACCATAATGTTTTAACAAGCATTCATAGGATGTGACTTGAAGATTTGAGTAAGTCAATATGATATATTAGACATACATGTACAACGTGTGTTACATAGCTATGAAATGTATGCAAAAGCCACAGCCATGCTGGATATAATGTCAATGCTCGAAAGAAAATCTTGTTAGACTTCCCAATGCAATGACTAATAAACCAACCTCACTGAAGCAGAAAAAGTCCATCAAGCCCACAAGCTCGCGCGCCTGGTCACGGCCAATATGTCTTGTGCCATATATCTCTTCTATTTCCTTCTCACCTAGCTGCATTATAAGTAGCAAAATTAGAAACAGAATCCTTTTCATACAGATCTGTATGAATTTCTGAAATAAGCGTACATGACTGAGAGAGCTAAAGATTTTTTGTTTTTTTTGGTTATTAACAGAACTCACCAATGCTTTCACAAGTTTTAAGTAAATTAAAACTTACACCATAATAGGTGCCAAAACCATTCCACTAGCAAAGCGCCACATTAAACATGGAAGGTTTCTCTTACATTTTCCTTTTTCTTTATTTTTCTTAGAAAGGCCTTCAATTAAGTAATACAACGGGGGGGCAGCACTTTCTATCCCTTTGCCGCCCGCAATGATAAATTACTACTTTATCTTGTCAATAAACTACACATACTAAACAGCAAATACAGACTCTGTTTTAAGCATTGTACAATAGGAACAACATCTATGTCATTACAAATTATTAATCAGTACCTGGCGACGACCGTAGAAGCACCCATCTGGCTCTATTGAACCAAAAAAATCCAACTTCAAGAGACACCCATTCTGCTTGTCATAGTACAGTCCTCTAATGGGAAAAGATGGATCATATTTAAAACTCATGCAAACCTCAGGATACCTAAACTGCAAGAAATCCAACACAAAACAATCTATCAAGACCTACAATACGCCACACACTAAAAACATAGACCACATAACTGCACTATTATATTACATAAATACTAACCTCATTCACCATATGCTCCTTTGCAAGATCATATATCAAACTCTGCAAGTTAGCAGAGTAATGTGCCAACGTAAAATCATAGTCGAAACCATATACTTGAATAAGATCCAGTCTAATACTCCGATTGACATATATCCCTAGTTGACACATACCAAAAACATTTTGAACACTAAAAACTTATGAAATAATCACATTTCTTCTAAAAGAGATTAAAATTAAACAAAAGGGAAGAGAACATAATTGAACCTTCAGGATTTGTCTTCGGCATTGCCTTGAGTGCTTCGGGAATCTTAAGGAAACTCCGTTTGGCAGCATCAAATTCCCTCCGAATCTTGTCAATGTCATCTTTAACCACCAAATCCGCCTCGGCTCGCCTTAGTCCTTCCTCAAACTTTGATACCGTTTCCTCAGAGGATGCAATTCCACTGTAGCCTCGAACATTTGCTCCTAATCCTAAATAATAATAACGATAATAATAATTCAACAACTCACTACTAAGTAAACACTTAAAAAGTACACACACACACAAAAGAACGAAACATAATTATTACAATCCAAATATAAAGGTTTAAAACATTAAAACACAAAAACAAACGAAAAGAAAAAAAATGGCGCATAAGTATTAGTGTTCAAATTTACAGATTTAAAACATTAAGAAAATTAAACCACAAAATAAAAACAAAAAGAGAGGGAAAAAGAAAAAAGAGGACCTTCTCGAACTCCAGGAGAAGAAAAGCTCGTTCTCTGCAACAAAGAAACATGTAAAGAGAGATTCTTATTATTATTATTATTATTGTTAGTGTTACAAATATGAAATAAAAATAGAGAGAGAGAGATACGTTGAGGGAGGAGCAAAGAGGAAGAAGCCTGCGAAAGGAAGCCATGAGAAGAAATTGAGCTGAGTTTTCGATTAGATTGGAAAAATGGAAGAGAGAGATTATTTCTCTGCTGAATTTCCGTTGTGTGAAAAGTCTGGGAAAATTGAATACGAAAATCGAGGGAGCATTCCAAGCCGAAGGCTTGTAGCCGCCTTTTCTGTTTTTCGTTTTTTTTTTTTGTTTTTTTTATAAAAAGTATCCGCTTCTTTTATTTTGTTGAAGCCAGTTTTTTCTTATTCTTCTGTAGCATGCTCATTTCTCACTTACTTTTATTTGTGTATAATGAATAATACAGTACACATTCGAATAATACCGATTTCAAGGTGGCAACCGAGGGATTAGGTCGCCTGGTTTCGAGTTAAAGAATATTCTAATTATTTTGCTTTTGAATTATTTCCGATTTACAGTATTAATTTTGAAATCAAATCGAATTGGATTAAAAGTTTAGACTATCATTTGAATCATATTAAATTTTCTCAATTATAATTAAGCTATTTCGAATAATATTTATAATTTTGGTTTTTGATATAATTAAATCATACGAAAGAACAAGTGAATAAATAGCCATTTACAAATTTAAAACAATTTTATGTAAGAAATTAACAATTTGGTTTTGAAAAAAATTATTAATTATTTTTTGTTTATTGATATTTTTTAATTTCATTTATATTATGCTAGTTATTATTAATGGTTTACGACTTATAAGATCAACCATAATTTCAAAAGTTTAAAAGAATATTAATTAGTTTTTGGATTATTAAAATTTTATTGAGAAGTGAAAACAAAAATTTTTTAAAATTTTGAATATAAATAATATTTAATTTTCTGCAATGAACAAGTAAAAGCTCAAAATATGTAATAACTCTAAAGATCTAAAAAGATAGGTCAAATTATTGAGAGATATGGATCTATTATATAAAAAGAAGTAATATCAGACATTAATGTTAATATATATATATATTTTTTAATATAATAATTTTTAGAATACAAAATTTTTCTTCTTATAACATGCATAAATCTGAAATCTGATTTTGGAGCACTAAGCTCTGAGCTATGGATGTTGCCGCAGATGACTCTGGAGCAAGCAAGCACATCGGTGACAAATTCCATTGTCTTCATTGATGATCAAACAACGACAATGTCATGGAACAATCTCTTATATTAGGCTCAGACTTACATGGTGAGGTTGCAAATAGCGTAAAAAAAATTGAACACTTGTTCATCTTGATGATGGAGTCGAAGCCTTGGTTGCGAAGCACAGTTTAATTGCACTGAAGTTTGAAAAGGTTGAGCAATCTTTCTACTAGTGTTTCAGCCATCTCTAGTCTGCTAAGGTCTTAATGGTGCTATTCCAAATAATGGAGGCAGCCCTTTCACATGGGCTAACTCAAATATGTTTCAGAGGCTTGACCTGGTATTTATATAATCATCATGCATGGGCGGAATATGTTGACACCACTCGAGCTCAGCATCTTTCGAGGGATGGCTCTAACCATTGCCCATTGCTTATTTCATGCTCAAATTTTGGTCATGAGAGGACCATGTTCTTTCCGTTTTCAACATGCTTGGATCAGGCATCATGGCCTTGTAGAATTTGTCGAAAGTAGTTGGAAGGCGCCTATACGTGATTCGGGGTATGGTAGCTTTTTGGGGGAGACAACAATGCCTGAAGTAGGGTCTAAAATGGTGGAATAAATAAGTTTTTAGGGACACATTTCAGCATGTTAGAGCAGCAGAGAAAAAAGGCGTTGGAAGCTGAAAGTCTATAGCTAGGTGATCGATGAACACAAATAAGGAGAATATGCATTTAGCATTTGCCGAGCTTAATCATGTCCTTAGCAGCAAAAATGAGTTGTTAAATGAGTTGTTGAAGGTGAAAGAAATACAAAACTCTTTCATATGATGGTAAAGAAAAGACGAGTGAAGAACCATATTTTTAGAATTACTGAGGATTAAGGAAATATGATCGAGGACCCGACAATAATTCAAAATTCAGCGGTGAATTTTTCTCAAATCTACTCAAGGCTAAGGAATGTGATTTATCTTATTTTGATGCATCATTAATTCCTTCTCTTGTTACGGATGATGATAATGCTCTCTTATGTGCAAACCCAACTTTGCAGGAAATTCGAGATGCTGTTTTTCACATTGATAAAAACAGTATTGCAGGTCCAAATGGGTTTTCATCCTTATTTTATCAACAGTTTTGGAATATAATTTCGAAGGATTTGATGGAAGCTATTTTGGATTTCTTTCATGGCGGCACCTTGCCGAAATGGGTAATTTCTGCAGCTCTTGTTTTATTTTTTTTAAAAAAAATTCTAATCTAGCATATTGGAGTGATTTTCGTTTAATAAGCCTATGTATTGTATTGAACAAGATAGTTACCAAACTTCTAGCAAATTGACTCGTAAAACTGTTGACTAGATTAATCTCAAAAATTTGACTGGGTTTATGGGTGGCAAACTTATTAGCGACAATATCCTTGTAGCTCAAAAACTAATCCATAGAATTGATTAGAAAACTAGAAGAAGTAATATTGTCTTGAAGCTTGACATGATGAAGGCTTATGACCGATTAAATTGGAATTTCTTATTTACCATGATGTGGCATTTTGGCTTTAATGAGCACTGGATTAGTTTGATTCAGAAATGTATATCTAATTACTGGTTTTTTTTATTGATTAATAGTGAATCAATGGGATATTTTAAATGTAAGAGAGGATTAAGGCAAGGTGATTCGATATCTCCATTTCTTTTTATCTTAGCAGCAAAGCACTTGTCTAGAGGGTCGAATGAGCTTTATGGAAAATATAATTCTTGACACTATTAGACAAGACGCTTTATGGTGGTAAGTCATCTATTTTTTGCTAACGATATAATTAATTTTTTTTTTTTGCTAACGATATAATTATTTTCATTAATAGAAATCGTTCATCCTTGGAAAAAATTCAAAATTTTTTGAAGGAGTATAGGGCAATATCTGGGCAAAAAATAAATCAATAGAAAAGCTGTTTTATCACTGACAATAAACTGGCTAACACTATAGTGCAAATTCTTCACTCTCTTACAGGATTTATTCACAAAAAGCTATTGATAACTTATTTGAGAGCACCACTATAAAAGGGACCCAAAAAACCTTTTCTAATTAACTCCTTTATGTCTAAAATCAAAGACCGAATTTCAGATTGGGAAGCTTATGAGAAAATCAAAGATATTCTTGCTTCTCCCAAGACAATAACTATACCAATCCAAAAGGAGTCAATGATGTTATACCTCACTTTAATTCTACACTTAATCGGTGCTCTACCTATTCAAGAAGTGAAGGGGCAAGAATGATCTATGTATTACCTAAGTAGATGTTTACATGAGAGTGACTTAAACTACCCATTAATGGAGAAATACTATCTTGCACTAATGTACGCAATTCAAAAACTGTCATTTCTTCTTGGCTTACAAACTTAAAAGTGGATAACAAAGTGGCTTCTTTTACTTTGAAAGTTTGACATTTCGATTGTGCAATCTAAGGCAATCAAATCTCAAGCTCTCTCAAATTTGTATTCTATTACCAAAAAAATTAAATCAAGGTCATTCCAAGTACAGAAGCTTCTAAAAGCAAGCATTGAACAACTATTTATACGAAAAAGTGAAAGTAACTCTAAGCGAGTGAAAAAGTTTATAAGTTATCTTCACATTTGAGATGTTTTACAGAACTTAACTTGGTAACTTAGATATGAAAATAATTAAGAAGACTTCCTCTTAACCTTTCTTTGAAATGCATGTGCTCTATTCTTTTTTCTTTATTCTTTAAAAATATACGTAACACACTATCAAGTGTCACTATTCCATTATCCAAAACTTACGCCCACTACCCAACTACATGATTATTCTCTTAATATCCCATAAGTCGTTTTTTCAATTGCTTTTCATGGCTAACACGTTCTTTCATAATTAAACATATTTTCCCAACTACTACTAAAAAATTGCTATTGTTCACTATAAATATGAAAACCTTAAAGATTAAAAAACAAGAGAAATTATTAAAAACCCAAACAGAGATTATCTTCAAAGCTCACTCAATACTCATCCAAACATTCATCTTACTTAACCCTTTCCATCCATCATAATCTATCGCTTTTCTTCACCTTTTCTTACTCCTCACCACCTACCACTAAAGCAATTGCACTTAAAAAACTGCTTTAATCTTTTTCTCTACCACTTCTAATGCATTATGTTTTATTTATTGCAATACATCCTCTCTCCTTACCAAAAGAACCCTCTACATATACTTTTAAAACTCTCCCATGATAAAAGAACTAATTAAGTTTTAACCAGGGTTTTATATATATATATATATATAAGCAAAACGAAGAAAAGAAAAGAAGATCAAATTAGAGTATTCAAAGAAATTTCATATAAATCAATGTTTAAGAGAAAGGGTAAACAGAAAAGAGGACAAGAGAAACTAAAAAAAAAAAATAAAGGAAATAACGAGATGCCAAACCACAACTGTGATTATTGTACAAAAAAATTAGTTTGTCATGTGTTCGAGGCATTAGAAATTGAACAATGTGCTCTTGGGAACTAACCATGCCACAAATCAGATGAAGGAAAAAAAAACCAGCTAGCAGAAGGCCCAAAAATATTTGACCAAGCTTTACAAGTATAAGTTATTGTTGCTTTCTTCTTGATGCTATTTCTGAGGCCCAAGCTTTGCCTACATCCGTCTGGAACTTCCCTGCAGATGTGTTAATTTCCATCATTAGCAACTGCAATCAAAGTTGTTCATGAATAATGTAACAAAGCTCAATGTATATTTTTCTTCTAAGTCGGTTATTTGTTTAATAAAAACAATGATTTAGCATGTTTTGGTTTAGTAATAACAGTACTAGTTTATTGGATCATTGTATTCTATTAGGTTGCCTAAGGTAACAAAGTTTTCATGGTTGACAGATCACAAAGAAAGAAGAGCAAGGAAATTAAAATTTTGTTTCAATACGAAGTGGTTTCGCCAACAGAGGAAGTGCAATTAGCAGAGCCTGAACCATTCTTTCACCTTTTACATAGTGTACATACATATACACTCCTCCAACTGATACAGAAAAGATCATTATGCTGAATCGCATATCACCTCCAAAGGGGACAAACTCCCTCCCATTTGTGCATACCACTCTTCCAACTGTGATGTGATTCCGCAAGGTTATAAGTTAAAGAGCATCATAATTCCTGACCTCTCCTATTCTGAAGCATGATTGTTCACTTATAAGCTTACGTTTCTTTATAAAGTTTTGTAACTGCTGCTATGACATTGTCATTAGAACCCCTATGCATTAGAAAGGTCTATTCAATATGCTCTCAGCTCCCTTCCACATATTTCTTTCACCATTTAACAAACTAAAACTTTGAAGGTGAATCATATTATGCCATGTCAAACAAGATTTAATAGATGTTAATGGCAAAACTAGCTACCCTAGAGTTTGGTCCAGATAGAACCAATTTTGAGACTTAGAAGGTCAAACTCACCTATTAAAAGTCAGAGCACTGAATTAAAAATCCAAGATAAATTGAAGGCCAATATTAAGTACTGAATTGGTCTTTTAGCATTTTTAACGCGTTAAAATTTATCAAAATGGATAATAATGAACAAACAACACATTGAAGATAAGGGAAGGCTTTAATTACACACCAGCAGTTGACTGGAAAAACTCATCCAAATCCACCCCTTGTTCTGCATAAATCCAGAATGAAACTTCAGTTTCCATGTAACATTATTACAGTGACTGATGACTACAGAGCTCAGTTAGTGCTAAAATAACAAGAAAAGAAAAAGGGGAAAATTTTGAAACATAAATAATTTAGAAAGGGAATAAGATATTGACTGATTTTCTGAACACATCAGACACATTCCACACCATTCGAAATGAATGCACCAAATAAGCAAATCAAATCAGCTATTTGCACATATCGGGCTTAGTTGAAATTTAAGCATGAACACGATAAACTAAAATAAAAACAAGATAGTTGAAAACTGAAAACTTAAAATCTGTTTAAATGCTCATCTCTATTAAAAAATTTTTAGCACTTTGAACTTGTTTTTCAAACATAAATGACCGCAAAAGCCTAAGATGCAAAGGCCAACAAAAACATAAATAATATACAGCCTTCTCAGCAGCAGATGTAGTGATATTTATGTCAACTCAGCAGTGTATAAGACTGAACATTTGAGAGCGTTCATTTCTACTGATTGAGTAAATATCACCATGAAAAACTGATTCATCTCATCTTAGTAAATAAATCAGCAATGAGTATCTAATTTTCAGATTTCAGTATCACATTAAAGCTACCCTTCCCCTATACTGCCTGCACCTCCGTCAGTTTTCCACACTCCTTTCTTTCTTTACTTTTTCCCCAATTTTAAGCTTATTGTTAATAAGTTGTGGCACATTCTTGAGATATAATTCAAACTAATTTATGTTACTGTGCACCAACCACATGATGTGATTTAACATTATGATCAGATCTTCAAAACTGATGTTTATACACAAATGAAATTCAAAATGATGAAGAAATAAGCAAGAAGAAGAACCCTTACCATTTTCATATTCTAAGGCTTGAAGTATCATCTCCACCTGAATGTAACAGGAAAACCCAACGTCAGATTATACAGGATTTATCAGCTTTAGAAAATTCACTCTACAGACCTGAAAAATATGATATATAGATTAACAGTGATATTGTACCAACATTAGTTCAAATGAGACTAGCTTGCATAAGTTCAGGACATTGATTGAAAAGGAAGAGAACTAAACTGAATTTCGGGGACAAATTGGTGAATTAATTTAATTCACCACATCTACTAATATGAGATAAACACATCAAAATAAATAGGCAGACTATCAAATGACAACAGAAAAACTTACAACCATACCTTGGAAACAAATCCATTGCATTGCTTGTTGTATCAAACAAGTAACTAAACATACTATTAAGTCATTGATTTTCTATACCAGGGCATAATATAAGTGCAACAAGAATACTAGAAAGTCAATTTACACTTGATATGTTCGAATGAAATAAATCATGAAAAAATAGAAATACAGATATGTTACAAACCTTGTCAAAATCTTTGACAATTTTGGCTTCTGAGGAAGAATTTTCTTCATACTCCATCCATAATTCCTCTATTTCTTTCGCTGCAATCAATTAAGCAGACAACTTATGTGGAATTATACATCATTTTAAGATTAAGTTATTTTTTTTTCTTCAAAAACAATAGGGTGAAAAGATAGAACAATTAGCTAACCTCTTGACCCTCCACCAAGTAATTTGCACATATGATCCATGGCTTCCCTCTCTCTTTGACTCTTCTCAGCCTTAGAAATACCATCTGCTGGGGTAATATCGCCAACAATGGCTGTTCAAACAGATAAATAAATAATTTATTATGACCATTAATTGTCATTGGTTCGAATCACATAAAATCAACTTGAATTTATGCAAATTTTTAGGCTAAAGAGACAATTTTTTTCTAACCTTCGGCGATATCGTGAACAATTGCCATTTTAACACACCTAAAAATAAAAATTAAAACAAGAAGTGATAAACATCTTAACCACTGCAACAACTAAAATTTGTTCATGAAAAAATATGGAACAAAAAAGTACTAACTTGTCTCTATCAATTCCAGAGATATCAGAAGCAATTAAAGCCATTAATCCCATTCGGTACATATGATCAGCTATTGATTCTGGATTCTGTACATCTCTCCGCACCCAACCTGCTCTCTTCGTCGTCTATGATTTTCATTTATTAAAAACAAAATAATTCACCATTTTTCTTTATTCGGAATAAAACGATACTAAACTTTTTGAAAGAAAAAAGAAATTGTTGTCTTTTTCGAAATAATCAAATATTTACCTTGAGGCGGTGGCAGAGAGTGAGAAAATCGATAGCAGAGGAAGCAGAGGAAGGAGTGGCCGCCGCAGCCGCAGCCGCAGCAGGAGCCCTGTCACTGGAAGAGGAGGGGGCGGGAGGATTGATATTGTTACCATTGGTGACGGAAGAGGAAGATGACGAAGCCATTGGGTGAAGTGTAGAGGCAGACGGTGAGAGAGAGGTGCGGGTGAGAAATGACTTGAAGCTGAGTCGAGTTGAGGAAGTGAAAGAGGGGACTAGGAATGCCAGCGAGGAGGCTCTACAGGGCAACACTCGGCTCCCACTCCCCATTTTTTCTTTTTCGATTTTCTTAATATCTTTTCTCCTTTTTAAGTTCTTCAATTAATTATTCTTTTGCCGGTTGCCCAATCTCAAATTTCAGGGGGAAAAAGAAAATTGGTATATTCGACAGACCATCCACGTCATGCTCTGACGGGTAATGGACGGTCCCGATTCCTTTTTCTTGGACTGGGGACTCCACAGATTTTGATGTGAAATATTTTCATTTTCTTTTACTTTTCAGTGAACTAGATATAAATCGTTATTTTTTTATATATTTTAAAATTAAAATTAAATAAGTATTGATAAAAGGATCATCAATTGTTAAAGACAACCTAAAAACGTGTACCTGAAACTTACATTAGGACAAAGTGATGAAGAAGGAACTTATTACTCTTGCTAATTATACCAAAAACAGTAAAAAATTAACAAGAGCTAGCTTAAGGAACATAACTCCCAAACTTGGGAACTCCTAGGCGCAGTGGCTGATGAATTGGTAGAAAACTCGGGCGTTTGGGCAATCAGATTAAACAGCTGGTCATGACAATGTCGCCCCATGCTCAGGAGCTTGCCACAGCAATTCTTGGAGAGAAGCTCGATGCCTGAATTGCCATTTATTATGACAGCGTCGTTCCTAAATATCAGATCAAAAATCTCACCCCCACAGTCTTCGCCTAGTACCATTGCGCAACGCTCGTAAAGATCCTCCACGTCTTTGGCCTCCGGCGACAAGGCTACCATGCCATCTGTGCCTGCTGCGGGCGAAATGTATCCAACCTCGTCGTCGAAGTAGGGTTCAGGGGCTATGAATGGTTCCATGTTTTTGTTTGCAAGTGCTGCTGAGGTTATGCCTTGCTTACACACAAATAAACTTGCCAAAAGGATGATGGTACAAGTAGTAAACTTTAGCATGGTGTGTTATTAGTTTTGCTGTTGAAAGAAAATTGTTAGGATGGGAATTTAACGGTGAAACCGATGTATTTTATAGGGGAAAGAGGTAGTCTAATTGACGGTTTTGAGTTTCTAAATAGCTTTTAAGTCTTTGTAGGTTAAATGTAATTTTGTTCTAACGCATGTAACCTGCATTAGTGAGCTCACGCAGGGAATTTGCACAACTTTAAGAATTTAGGTTTTTTTTTTTTCCTGTGACAAAGAAAAAATGTCTATTCTTAATTTTAACCATCGCAAATAAATCTTAACTATTTTTATAGCTGTAATGTTTAATATTTAGACAAAAACATAATCCCACCTACAAGGTGAAGTACAATTAAGAAGCATATTATAATTCCTTTTTTTATATTTTTAATATTTTATTTTATTTTAATTTTTAACGGAATGTTAACAAATCAAGAAGTCAAAAAATATAATTTTAAAACAAGAAAAATCAAAGTAATACATAATATCATCAAAACTTTATTATTTAAATAAGATATTTGAAATGTACAAATTCTCAATTGAAAAAGATCCAAAATGTCAAATATCAAAAATCCTATCTTTGGCCATTCACACATATCATATATACTCACCAGTTCTATTTAGGTCTTTGCAAAATAAAAAATAATAATAAAAATGATGGTGACCACAAGAAATTTATATGAGGTTTGCGTTGTGATTAGTATGGCAAAGCCATAATTTAAAATTAAGGGACGTTTTCAGTTTATTCATTGATTTCAGCTCCTAATTTTCATTACAATAGAAACGATTAAAATTATTCACCAAAAATAAGTTTGGTTAGTTTTAATTTTATGCGTTGGGCGTCCCAAATTTGGTAGCTTCTTGCAACACCCGCAAATGCAGTTGGCTTTTATCGAGGCATTGCAAAAATAGTCTCCATGAAAGCGCTATGGCAATGCCTTCCCATCCCCACAAGGTACGAGCAGCACTCGAGACTCACCGACACATTCTGGAACAGATACGAAAAGATCTCTCTCCCACACTCTGCACTCATCAATGACTTACATTCTCGCAAAAACCTTACTTGGTCCTACGTTGGTTGGGACATGCTATTTCCTTGTTGCTGATATTTGCCTCAAATGCAGCAATTGCAGTTGCTGAGAGAAACAGAGCATCAAGAGAAAGAAGCTATTCAACTTTTCCATGATTTACTTCTTATATACATATAGGTGATAAAGATATTTTCATAGCATTCAATGTTCAAACAAAACGCTTAATTTCTAAATGAATTTATTTTACTTCCATCTGTTATGACTTGGGATTTCTTAATTGAGATTGAAATTATTTGTTTTTTTATATTCATTGTGAAGCTAATTAATGTATAGATTAGATAATCACTTATCATAAGAACTTAGATTTAGGTTTATATATTTTCGACGTTCCTCTTGGTGTAAGCTATTTTATTTTTCTCCATAATATATTTAAAAAAATGAATACACAAAAATCAAAACTTTTTTTTGGTACTTTTCATATAAAATGAAAAATAAATATTCAATTTAAAAAAGCAGTGCATTTGAGCCATAATTTTTAGCTCTAATTCGCTACATTGTACATGGACCTAAGCAGAATGATTAAGCATGGCATGGCATCGCATCCACATCAAGCTGATTGGCCGGCCATCCATACAGAATCCAAGATAAGCTAAGTCACTCTGTCAAATCGGTCAGATTTTTTCAACTCATTCAATACAAATAGCCAAAATCGTTTTTTGTCTTTGACTTTTGCAATAAAGCTTTGGATCCCAGTCGTTTCCTATACTTATAAATACAGGTGAAATGAACCCTAATATTATTATACAAAATTTTATGTTTACCGAAGAGGAAAGGATAATCCTGTCCATCAAGGATGTTAATCACCTACTGCCAAACATATCCACATGTTCACCAATCAAACAAAGACCCGACAACTTGTCGGTGAGACGGCCTTTATTCTTTCAAAAATCAAAACAGGTTACTTTACGCAGCATTTTATTTTTTACAAAGTTTCTTTGGATTCTTCTCCACACTTCAATCCGAAGACTTCAATCAAGAAAATTATTTAAAAAAAAAAGGGAAAATCCAAAAGAGTTGGACATTGCTGTTGCGGTCATTTGGTGCGGCGGATTAGCAAAAACTGATAATTGCTGATAACAATACTGCAAACCATGGAGTGAGTAGCACTGCCTGCGTAAAAGAGTCCATAGAAAAAAACAAAGAAAAAACCCTGAGATAGTAGGACAAAAAGGGGAGGCCCAAGAATAGCCCATGGTGATGGAGCGGACAGCCTGATTGTCGGCAAGGAAAGCCTGAAAGGCGAAAGCTCAATGCGACATGACGTTGGCAGTCTTTACAGCTGGAAGAGAGCGTGGGTCAGACCAAAGTTTTAGCCGAATCCAACGGCAGCCGTACATTTTGCTTGATTTACTTTTTTGCTTTTTTTTATTTTCTACGACCTTTGGCCCTTACTCCAACCGTCTTTCACGGTTGTCCCACCTGTCCCTTTCTTTTGAGCTGTCGTCTTCTTTGCTTTCGAAACTAGTTGCGTTTTTCAATCTCATGACCCTAAAATGCCTTCTCCCTTCTTAAATGCCATTAAAATAAAAATAAAAAGGGTATTCTATCTTATTTATAATCCGATCAATCAATTATCCAACAAAATATTAACAGCAAAAATAAATATATAAATAACAAATAAAAACACGGAAACTTTGACCTTGACCATAAATCTCAGTTAGTATAAAACACAAAAACGGATCAAATTGAAAATTATAGGTAAAATCGAATTATCTTACCAATTATTATAGCCAAAAACTGAATTAATTAACAATAAACAGATCAAATTAGAATGCACAAAAAGTTGAAATCCAAATTACCATGCAAAAGCATAACAATAGTAAATATAAAGTAAAGCGAAATATGAAGCATTTAACGTAATTAAGAAAATGAAGTCTTTAAACTTTACTTACAGAGAACAAAACAAAATCAACAAAACTAGTGGGGTTAAAAGGTTTTCCACTACTCCCCCAAGCAAAGAATGTGTAACCCTCGTCTTTTCTTTTTCAACTTATACGGGTTTTCCGTTTTCTTCCCATTGCATCTTTCTTTTTCTTTTGAATGGGGAAAAAGAAAATCCCTATATAATTTAAAAAATTAAAAGGGGAAGGAATTTTTTTAAAAAAAAAATTTATTGTACACCTTTGCGATTATTATAACCATAATAAGATAAATACCATCTAACAAATTTCTTCAACCCGGTCTGCAAATCGGTTGTGGGCTTATACCCGAATTCTCTTTGGGCCGAACTTATATTGGCATGGGTGAACGGAACATCACCGTTTCCGGGCATATCCACAATATTCCTTTTCGCTTTCACCTTCAAATGTCTTTCCAGTATATTCACCAACTCCGGCACTTTAACTGGCGACGTGTTGCCCAAATTAAAAATTCGATACGGAGCAGGGCCCGTTTCTTGCCCCCGAACCGGTACTTTTTCCGGATGTATCCAATGACCCCAAACAACCTTTCACAATATCGTCAATGTAAGTAAATCTCGTGCCAAATCAGCACGATTTTTTCCTCTATATATTGTGATCGGTTTCCCTTGCAAAATATTTCTTGTAAACGAGAAGTACGCCATATCGGGCCTTCCCCATGGACCATACACGGTAAAAAACCTTAAACCAGTAATAGAGAGGCCGTAAATATGTTATAAGTGTGAGTAATTTCTTCACCTGCCTTTTTCGTTGCTGCGTATAACTAGCAGGCTGGTCGGTCCGATCCTCTTCAGAGAAAGGAACTTTTTCATTTAAACCGTAAACCGAACTCGAGGAAGCCCATACAATAGCCGGCTGGGGATTAGCCGACTTGCAAACTTCGAGAACCGTTACGAGACCGGCTATGTTCTGTGAACGTAAGAGTTAGGATTTTCCATGGCGTACCTGACTCCGGCTTGAGCAGCCAAATGCATCACGTGAGTAAAAGCCACCACGTCGAAAAGCTTAGCCAATAGCTTGGCATCGTTCAAATCACCTTCAATGACCAGAATGCCGTGGCTGTTAAGCAGCGATTTCCTTGCTTTTTTCAAAGAGGGATCGTAATAGTTATTAAAGTTGTCAAGCCCAACGACGCCGTCTCCGCGTTTTTTAAGAGCAAGGGAAAGTGTGTACCTACGAACCCGGCCGCCCCAGTTACCAGAACGGACATGCCACCAGAACGGTGGATCTGAGCAGAGCTACGACTTGTTTTTTCCATTGGATAACACCCCAGGAAGCGGTGAAATATCGACTACCGGAATCAACAAACTCTGGAAGCTCATAGGACGCCGTTAATGCGATCAAGAAAAGAGCCCATAAAAACATTGTGCTGGTTGAGGCAAAGCAACGGTGGAACTGGCGGTTCATATTGTGGGCTCTATCGATCTTGAATTTCCCCGGCGTCGACGGGAACAGTTCATCCTCCAAGGACGGCATTTTCATACTATCCTTTTTTTCGATTTTTTTCCTTTTTCACAAAAAAGAAAAGGATTTTGTTGAATTACTTGGTTAGCGGAGGCTGAGGAAAGAAAGAGTTTTACCTTGTCGTTTTTTTTTTTTTTGAATTTCTGATTTATGGTAATTTAAATAACAGATGCAGAAAAAAAATAAAGAGAGGCGAGTTTTAATTTTTCCTGCACCTGCTAATTGAAGGAAGGTGAGGAAGGGTTATATATAGTGGTCACCCACAGAGAAACGACAAGTATACGCGTGAACGCGTTAAAGGACGGCCAGATTAGATGAAGGATAGAGAGAGAAATTTTAACAAAACTAAAATTGCTTACCATTTACTATTTAACTGTTGCTATTTTCTTTTTAATTTTTGGACTATGAGTGGACTAATTTTAATTAATGGTACGCGGATTTGATTGAATATCTATGATTGATTGACTGTTCTTTGTTTGTTTCTTAAGGAAGGGTTTGGCTTTTTGCACGATCATTGCATTAAAATACTCGTATATAATTATGCTTACTTAATTAAGCAAGGAGTAAAGTTTTAAAAATGTTTAGTGGGGGTAGTTTGGAAATTTTAAAGAGAGAACATGGGGACCATAACATGTACTCCTCCATATGCAGTTCGGAGAAAGTGAAACTCCGGGTGGACTAAAATACTAATTTTATTTTATTTTTCAAAATCTGCGGCCAAGATCCGGAAGATGAATAAAATTGGCAAAAAGGGGATTTTGAGTAATTAGCTTTTGTGGGTTTGGACCAGTTACCGGAAGAAGCGGTCGTGACTGGAAGCGTAGATAGATGAGACTAAAAAAGGAAAAAACCGGGGGATTAGCCCTGCGCGTCCGGTGGATTCGGCTCTCTGGTCTTCTTTAGTCTTGTGGGAATTGGGCGGTGCCCCTTCTTTCTTTTCAATCTATTTTCAGTTTATTTTATTTTATTTTTGACTAAATCTGTATTAGTTTTTTCATTTTAATATTTAAAAATTTGTAAAATGTTCCTTTTATTTTTTTGTATTTCTAGATTCTTTGTTTCTGGGTCTGTGTACGTTTGGGACAGCTTGGCAAATTGCGGTGGCAGGGGTCCACTAGGAGAAAAAAGTGGAAGAGTGTTAATATTAACAGAAGAGATGAGATGAGACGATGGATTTAATTTTTGACATTTTATTTAAATAACATTTTAAATTATTTAACTAATTATTTTTTATTATATTTAATTATATTTTTATATTTTTATTTAAAATTAACTAAATTTTTAAAATTTATAATTAATTAAAATATTATCTTTTATTTTATATTTATATGACACTAATATAATATTGATATACATAATAAAAAAATCACATGATTATCTAAATTAATATGTCATATTATCATCAATTATGATATGTTATATGTCATATAATTATTAATTTAGTATATTACAATAGAATGATAAATGATATTTTGATTAAGTTAATCATTAATTATAAAAATTTATTTGATTTAAAATAAAAATACAAAAACTTACTTGACTTAAAATAAAAATATATAAAATTTATTAAACTTAATAAAATTATAAAGATTTAATTAAATTGTTTTAAATAATTTTAATTTTTTATTTTTTGATTGAAAATGGGTGGCAGATCATCTATGCTAAAAATGGCTGTTCCTGCTTATAACTTTGCTGGATACTCCTTATAAAATAAAAGCAAGTTAATAAGTAAAAGAAATTCCAAGGACTAACATAACAACTACTTAAGAAATCAAATTACTTGTTGTTCATGCAATAGGTTAGCCGCTCGATAGAAAATTATTATTTATGTTCAAATGCCCTGATACTTATACTGAATTTAGAAAGATTTGGTAAACAATTAATTGGATTGACCAAACGGAAGTTGATTCAGTTATTCCACCGTCAGGAGCCAAATGGATTGACCAAAATTAATTCAATTATTCTCATCATTATCAACATCAAACTTGCTAATGTTCAATTTTATAATAAGTTGTCCAAATTACAAGTTAATGTTAATAAGTATTCAATTTATCTATTTATTTAAATTTATATTTATATTTATAATATATATAAATTTTTATTGATAAAAACAGAATTTTTTGTTCATTTTATTTTTAAACTATCATTTTAAATAAATATTATTGATTATATTTTCAATAATAATTATAAATTAATAGAGATAAAATTTATCTGATACATATATAAGAATTCTTATTCCACTGAATCACTTTCATTAGAAAGTGATTTATTCGATTCAAAATTATCTATTTAATATATATCTAAAATATATTAATAATAAAATATTTTATATTTTATTATTATTTACAAATAAATAAAAATATAATGCTTGTATGAATAAAAGTATTAATGTCTGCAAGAACAAGTTGATTATAATTTTCAATTATAATCATAAATTAATAGTGATAAATATTTATTTAGTGTATAGATATATAAGAATCCTTATTTCCTTTGAATCACTGACATTAGAAAAAGATTTACTTGTCTAGAAATTCTTTGTTCATTATGTTTCTAAATTGTAATCATATTTAATATTTATACATATAATTATCACTTAAATTTAAACAAAAAATAGAAGTATTTACTTGCAATGCATGTACCAACAGATATTAGTTATCTAAACATATCAATTATCAACACACAATTGATTATATAAAGTTCTGAAGCCTGCTCCACGAGATAATGTTGAATTTTCTTTTTCAAGGATAAGTCCTGAAATTTTTTGATCTCAGCTTCTATCCCATAATATGCAGGTTTTATCCAACTTTATATTAGTTTATTTATTTTTCTTGTTTTTAATACTTGCTGTAGTAATTATGTACTCTATACATTACACCTTGAAAATTAGTTGTAATTACGGATATAGGTGATTTAGTAAAAATATAATATTGGGGATTAAATTTGTAATCAATATTTATTTTCTCCATTATCTTTAATTATATGAATTAATTTGTTTTTGGCTTGATTTAATTTTAATCTTTGACATTTGGTTTTGGAGAACGAGATTTGATGTGTGACGTTTAGATGTAACTCTTTTGTCCAATAATATTGGAGGAGAGGGATGTGTTGCTGAAATGGAACCTGGGAGTTATGAATTTAGGAAGCACTGAGGCCTAGTCAAAATTAAAAAAACCAAAAAAAAAATGTGTTAAGGAGGGATTAAGTGCTTAAGTATGTTCTTTTCAAAAGTGAAAAAGGCAATTCGAAGGGAATATGTTCCCACTTTAATTTTAATTTTGAGCAGATTATTCCTTGAGATCATAATACCAACAACAAAAACCATTTTTATAAAATGTTTCTCGAATTACGAGATGCAATAATTGTTTTTTTTTTTATTTTTTGGATCTTGCTTTGGAAGCTTTGGTTTTGCTTTTTCTTTTTCATTTTTATTATGGGCAATAACTAATATAACTAATAACACAGGACTATTGAAAAATGTTAGGCACAATAATGGATTTTTATTTTATGTCTTTTATATATGATATAAATTCTTAACTTTCTAAAAAATATATATCATATAAATTCTAATAAGAATAAATATATATAGAAAGAAATATTCACGAAAATTATGCTTATCAAATTGTAAATTATTTGTGCTTACCTAATTGTTTGTTTAAGAATTAAATATATATTGAAATGAAATGTACTTATTATTAACTTGCCATTTGATGTTTGTAAGATTTATTGCCCAAATCATTGGTCTGAAAATACATTTTCTGATTATGTAATCAAGAAAATTCGTTTCGATAATGCTAGTGAATTTACATTTTAAGCCTTTAGTACTGCATATTAGTTGGAATAATTATTAAAGATCCTATTGTTTAGGTTCATACACAAAACGATCTAGCAGAATGATTTATTAAACACTTCCAATTGATCACAAGGTCATTACTTATGAAATTTAAACTCTCAATTTCTATTTGGGAGCATGCCATTTTGGATGTAGCAACATTTGCATGCATCAGGTTAAACAAGTTATTATAAATTATTCCTTATATAATTAGTTTATGATCAAGAATCAAATGTACCATTTAAAAATTTTTAGATGTGCAGTATATGTTTCAATTGTTCCATCACAATGCAAAAAGATGGGTCCTCAAAGGAGGTTAAGAATATATGTTGAATATGAATCTCCATCTATAATTAAATATCTAGAACTCTCAACAGGAGATTTATTTATTTCAATGTTTGTTGATTGTCATTTTGATAAAACAATTTTTTCAACATTAAGGGAAAAAAATAACCAACTAAAAAAGAAAATTTCTTAGAATGAATTATCATTAACTAGTTTTGATCCTCATACAAATCAATCTGCACTTGAAATTCAAAAGATAATTTTTTGTAACATATAGTAAATCAGTTGCTAGATTATTTTGATTTTCCTTGTGAGTTTAAATTCTAGTTAATTAGTTTTAGTTAATCAATTAATTTTGATGGTTTGGATAAGATTAATTTGTTTTAATTTTAGTATGTAGTAAAATTTTAGATCAATTTTCTGTGAGATTGATACTTCGCTTGTTAATATATTGTCTATTCGATACATATACTTACATAGTAAAATTTTAACTGACAAGGAGGAATTGTATTTAATTGCAAAACGTGAAATTTTTGGACTTGTAGTTTATACATCAAATGATGTAAAACCAATGGGATATAAATGGGTATTTGTGTGAAAACAAAATGAGAAAAATGAGATTACGAGATATAAAGTACAACTTGTCGCATAAGGTTTTACCCAAAAACCTAATATTGTGAGATATATTTTCGTCGGTGGATGTAATTACAATTCTATATTAATTAGTCTGGTAATTAATGAGATGATCGAAATGTGTTTAATGAATGTAGTTGCAGTCTATTATATGACTTGCTTGATAACGATATTTATATGAAAATCTCTAAAGGATTTAAGTTTCCTAAAACACAAATTTAAATTCTTAAAAAATTTATTCGATTAAATTAAATCTTTATATGGCTTACACCAATTCAGATGCATGTGGTACAATCGTTTTAGTGAATATTTATTGAAAGAAGGCTATAAAAATAATCTTATATGCCCATGTGTTTTTGTAAAGATTCAAATCTAAATTTGTGATAATTGTTGTTTATGTTGATGACTTGAACATTATTAAAACTTTTAAAAAATTATTAAAACCATAGATTATTTAAAGAGAGAATTTGAGATGAAGGACA